TTCAATACCTAGAATAGTTTTGATCCAAATTTTACAACACATCTTTAAATATATTATCAATCAATGAAATATTTTTACGTAATATTCTGTGTTTTGTTCGAGATTAGTATTAAATTTCAATACCTACAATAGTTTTGATCCAAATTTTACAAGACATTTTTAAATATATTATTAATCAATTAAATATTTCTACGTAATAATATGTGATTTGTTCCATATTAGTATTAAATTTCACGTTCAAAAGTTATTTCTATGAGTGAAATCGTTTTCTAGTCTTCTTTTCGTACAGTTCTAGAGTTTGCTGCATTTTGGTTGTCTACGTATTACATTAAAAATTGTGGTTTAATTTATTGTGAACAGAAACGTATAAATTAGCATTCCTAACTACATCTACATAATGCTAATATAATTGGAAGATGATAATTCATCAATCTATCTCATCGAAACTAGAATTATAGCTAAATTAAAGCTTTTATTTTAAATTGCCCCGGCGCACCCACCAAAATTCTCAATAATTTTTTAATAATTATTGATATTATTATGAACGACTTATTGATGACATTAAAGTGATATCCTTGTTGAATATTATACTTAATCCCATAATAAACACTTATTTTGACACCATTTCTTTTATTTAACAATTAGTTAATCGTGATATCGATATATCTGAAAACGAAATGTTTTACTTGGCCGATCTCATCTCGTATTCATGGACAAAGTTTTGTCGTCATTCCGTGAAATTTTTAGTGCAAAAACAGACGAACTGGTTAATTATTCCCGTTTCTAAAAACTAGCCATTCGTATCTAAAGTTGATTCCCGGTAGAAACTAAATACAAAGTTTGCGCCCTTTTTCTTTTATCTCGGAAAAAAGGAGAGCGACTAGAACTTGGGCAATAAACTAGATTTTTTTTTCTGCCTCGTAAAACTCGAACGTTTTATCGCCTGTAAAAGAAATAAAGGAATTGGACGCCGAATCGAACGCTTCAATGACTGAATGCATTTAGTTCTACTTCGTCATGCTCAATAATAAAATAAATTTCGTTCTAATTCCCTTGTTATAGTACAATCTTAGGAAAAATCAGAAACATTTTTATAACAGAAATCAATTTATTATTTTTAAAACAGTTGAAAATAAATTCGAAACAGTCGAAAATCAATTTGCTGCTTCTGAAACAATTCAAAATCGAATAATTGTTTTTGAGACAGCTTTTGTTTATACGTTGCTACTGTATTTATAATTCTAATTTTTCTTTCTTTTGTTTTCAGGTAAGTGCTCGCTTGTTTCTTCATTGTTACTGGTAAGTGCTCTGTTTACCAGTTGAATTATTTATAATGACATAAAACTGTGGGTATGGTTTTTTGTAATTCCGGACCGTGACATCCCTTTGTTCGTTATTATCAATGGAAAGCTATTTGACGAGTTTTCACGTTTAGCTTCCCTCGAATTGGTCAATAATTCGGACAAAGAGAAGGGTTGTTCGGGGAGAACAATTCGTATTATTCGGAAGTATGGATATTGCGTTTAACGGTCAGCCGTAATTCAAAGGCTGCCCCGCGGTACGCCGCCTTGACTTTTATTTGACGCAGGGGATTCCCCAATTGACCATACATTGTGGAAAAAATTCCTCCTTGTGAAGTGTAAACGACAGCAACCCCAAATGGGCTTTATTTCTTAAAGTGATCATTTTTCTTTATTTATGCCATACAGGGTGTTAAAATGTGGGGACAACATTTTCGAATAAGTGTATAGTGTTTAGTGGTTTCCATCGGCGTAAAATCAACCCTAAGTGAAGCTCGCGTATCAACCGAGGCAAATAATGTCCTCGGGGGAAGCCAGTCTTGCAGATTTGGACCAATATAATTAACCCTCTTAGGCTGCGCCCCTTTTTCCAACGTTTAAGGATGTTACATTGAACAATCTGAATCAGTTTTTGCTAGCATTAAGAAAACATTAGTCTTGGAGATGTGTTAGAAGAGAATAAAGATTGAGGTGGTTTTCTCTCATGAGGACAAAAACGAAATTAATGTAAAACGGTAGTGGTTTAACCAAAATAAATTGTTCACAACGAATTATTTTTTCTTTTTTAAGGCAACATTTGCTCTAGTACTAGGATAATAACAAATAGCTCGCCAGGAATTGAGTTTGTCAAGCAAATAAGTGATTTAATATTTATTGGATTGGAAACCTTAAGTGAATTCTATTCTCTGATTATTTATTTTGTTAATAGTCTGTCTTGAACGAGATTGATATCGGTAGAAGTACAAATATCTTGCCCAAATATTGATTTAAGAATAAGACTTTTCATTTGTGATAATTAACAAATGTTTCCGTATTTGTTCTGTCTCGCTAATTAATTTTGCAACACCTTCTCCACAATATTAATTAAAAGTATTATTATCTTTAGATAATGTTTATTTTCCATTACAGTTAGATAATCTGAATTCAACTTACCTTAAAAATGTAATACATTTTATACTCTGGCTGCTCCTTCTTTAAGAGAGAAAATGTTTAAACAATTTACATAATTTATTTATTTTTCTTAAATAACAAAAAATCAACATCATTAAAAAATATCATACTTACTTCGAGTGTGACAAATTGATAATTGGAAACAATTTTTATTAATTACTTGTTAGTGTTATTTACAATGTCACAAAAAGGTCTTGATTTTTATTTTATTTTTTATTATTTTTTTTTTTGAAGTGTGAACAGAAAATGTTACTATAACATCGTTTCAGTTTTGAGGGATTTTTCTGTATTTTCTACACATCGACATTAATAGATAACTTCACTAATTAGTTATTGATAAATTAATCTGAGTGAAAGGTAAACACTTACAAACAGTGAATGAACACGTAATGTCTCCAAAAGTCATTATCATTTGTTTTTAACGACAGTTTTTTGTTTTTTTGATACATTGTTTTGATGCAAATAGAAATTCGTTGACATTACATTTTGTTTCACGTTATAAATAAAAGTAAGTGATTTGCTAGATGAGTGTTTTCATTAAATATAGATACTATCTGTATTTTCGATTCGATATTTTTGTTTCAATAAAAACTTTATATCTAAGTACTCTTAATAACGTTATAATTAAAAGTTGTTTTTGTATTCCTTTGTCATAAAAAATTCGTTTTTGTTTTTAAATTTCGTATCATAAGTAAATGTTTATAGATCGTATCACTGCATTTTTATTAATTAAGTTTAATTAAAAGACGTTGTGTTAATACTTTCGATAAATCGGGGATGGGCTCCTTGACCTCCTGCTTCGCCACTTTGTATGGAAAAATGCCGATACGATAAATATTCCGGCGGTACGTTCGGTTGGTCCCTTTTGATGGCCCTTCTTTGTTTCTTCAGCTTCAAATATCCCAACACCGACACAAGAACTATGAACACTACAAATCCCATGCAGCAACCGATTATAAGTCCTAATCTCCTGGTCAGAATCGACTGTACGTCGGTGCCGTGTTCGGAAAAGCCTCCGAGTCCGTCGGGAATGCCTTCTAACGTGTCCAAAGTCCCCACTTCCTCGCACTTACTCGTCGGGGAATCCACCAGCAGGGGCATCAACCTATCACTATATACTTCTAAGTCCGACGGTTCAGAATGATTCACGAAATTGTTTGTGATTACGTGGGACGCCGCAAGTTCACTTCTCCTAGTTATCCAGTTCCCTAGGGCTATTACGCAAATCAGATACCGAGATGACGGGAACAACCCGGTTACTCTAGTGGAACGAGACGAACTGTCTAGGATTTTTCCGCGTATCTAAAAAGAAATTACAAAACAGAAAGCACAAGTAAATTTTGCGTTCTACAAATACATCAGGTATAGTCTGTTCATCTAGAGAAAAGTACACGATGCCAAATCGATGTGCGCGGACTGCCATAATAGACGTAACCGTTAAAAGTTATTCAAGGCGCCTGAAGGTTACGTCTGACGGGGACCTTTATATGCATCGCCCACGCTGTACCTTTCTCTAAGTGAATGGACTATACTTGTGCTCATTAACCCCTAATTTGTTGGAAGATAAACCCAGTAATTATCCCCGGGTTTCCCATATTCTGCACAGTCAAAAAAAAGAAAGAAAGGCAATAATAAGAGAAGGTAATACGTATGTAAAGATTCGGCTGACGCGGGCAGAACATAATCTACCCTCAGCTGCTAATTTCTAGCGCGACTGGCTGACCAAGATGCTGACATTTGGATGTGCTGTTTGCAGAGAGAGAATGAACCTATCTGCTTCCGGTGCAGCTCTATTTACTAACCCGAATGCACTCACTTGGTTGAGATATCGCCGTTGAAACTTCTGCAATTTTAAACTTTTAACTCGACGGCTTCGTCGGGGTGCGAATAAATTCATTAGACTGTTCTCATAACCTGACCCGCACTTCATTTTCTTGTTTTACAACTGTGATTTTCGTTTGGAATTAATTTTTAGTAAGCCCGAATTATAATTAAAGATATCGATTCGACTAGCAGGTTTTATAGGGGTTAGGGGGTTACTAAAAACTGCGGGTGATCGGAGAAACCATATTTTTAATTATTATGACTCAATTACTAATCTAATTGAAATTTATCTATCGTTATTGTCACTTTTAATAATTTAGACTGTTTTGTTCATGAATTTTATGTTCGTAGATGCGTTATTCTTTTAAAGATTTAAAGGGTGGCATCATTTTTTGAAAAATACGACCCAGTACAGGAAATTCGTGTAGGTAGATACCTACCTTAAGTTAAATCCAATAAATACAATTTAATTCTTTTGAGGGATGACACGCTTTGTTCAAAGGATTTTGAGAGTTCGGTTAGTTTAGGACAGCTTTCAAAGAAGCAGATGTTATTTTCAGATAGACGAGGTTAAAGAAATATATTCTTTCCACACGTTTTCCAAATTGTACATTTTCGCTCGTGTGACATGAACAATAAAAAAATATCGCCAATGAAAAGTGTAATCTCAATTGTAGGTACGCGAACTTGATTAATGCAGCTGTGATATATGGTTCAAGTCAGTAATTAAGTATCATGTCACATTATTATAACAATGATTGATGTTGTATTGTTTAATTAGTTTATTCAACTGTCTGAGTCACACTTTATCTAATCGAACAAATGAACAAGAAACAAATGTTATACGGATGACGATTGAATGCAACGTTGCGGGTGGTATTTCGTTATCAGGGCCGGAATTGAATTTATCTGTACTTTCAAGTACGTTTTTTTCGAAACCGGTAAACTTACGGACATAAAAACATTTAGATAATTTTCATATTTTATGGTGCTCTATCACTTGGTGCACTTATTTCAGTTCAGTTACACCCTGTGTAATTTGAAAATACTACAGAATGGGAGACTTAGTTTCAGTTTACTGGCGGTCGCCAAGCTTTGGTTTACTGCAGCAGCGAATATAAAAGAACTCAATATGGTAATGCCTCATTGTAAATCGGTTCGCAAGCTTGGAGTGTTTACCCTTCCATTTGAGAAGTACTTTTGTTGCTTGGAATAAGTTTATCTCGACGACTTTAAAGAGTGATTTATAAACTTCATAATGTTGCAGCGCTATCGGCACGTTGTTCGTTGCCTTTCAACGTGAGCCGCTGCTGCTGTGCTATTTCATATTGAATTCCGATTTTTCAATTTCTTTGTTAGCACTTCCTGCAACCGTCTTTCGAAAATCCACGAATAATCAAACGCGAAACTCTTGCAACCGACACCATTATTCTACTTCGTCGACTGCAACTCCAGGAAATTGTCTCAGTCTCTTCTTTTTTTTTTTCTTGTTCTAATATCAGCGGGGCTGCAAAATTAAAATCGACCAATCTCCTTAAAAGCATTCCCGAACGATGCGAAACGTTGACAACGATTACTAATATTTTTTTGCGTTCCTCCCGTAGGTGCTGTTTCTCGACAAGAAATCTTTCGTCGGGAACAAAGGGAGAGAGTAATATCGGAGACAATTAATTAAGGAATTAAAATATCAGCAATGTACTTCATTAGTTACGACAGAAGCCCTCCAATTTAGTTCCCCCATTGATTGAATTTCTACTTGCTGCCGTTCCTTAATTCGGCTCAGGGTTGTTTCGTCGTCTCTCTCACCGGCAGGGTCTTACAGTTACTGAAATTGTGTCGCGCTTGTTTTTTGTTTATTAAATGTCTTAGTTAGTTAGTGAGTCGTACAGCGCAATTATGCCGTAATGAATTCCTTTCGTATGGGCTAATGATCATGATCGCAGCGTCAATGGTATTAAAATGAAAATTGGTCTTGTTAGTCTCATACAGTAGCATCATTTGTTGTTATTAAGTCGTTCAAACCCACAAATGTAAACAATCTGCTTTGTAAGTAAAGTAATTCAATTAAAACGATAAAACGTTTGAGGATAATTCTACTTACGTCACTGACGCTATCAAGTGCGTAGAAGGCCACTTGAAACCCATTCAGACCCGAGTGGTTCCTGCTTTGCCAAGATACCAAGACGGAGTACGGTTGAATGTCTTGGATGCCCAGTTTTACTACCAAAGGTTTGTCGCAAAATTGCTCAGGGATCAAGTCCAAAAATATGCGTCCTCTCAACTCCGGAGGCTGCTCACAGCGGAGGTCCTTTCTCGTGGCGATTTGCACCAGCTTCTGATGATCCTGCAACCATTCCCAGAACTCTTGCGATTCGCAGCTGCAGGAGATCGGGTTCTCTAAAAACGGAACCGTCACACAACAATTAATTAACAAGTTTCTCATAAAGAATCAGATTTGTTTTCGTAATCCTTACCTTCTGTCCTTAAACTACGTATCTGAGTTTCGAGTGGTCTAAATGCGTTTAAAGGGATGTTCTCCAAATAGTTTTTGCTGATGTCGAGAGTTCTGAGTTTCTTGAGAGGTTTAAAAGCGTCTACGGATACGGAAGTTATCCAATTCCCGAAAAGGTAGAGCTCGGCTAAGTTCTCCAAGTAGCGGAAGGTGGTTTTACTGATCCTGCCCACTTGGTTGTAAGATACATCAAGAACCTGTAATGACTGCAGGTCCGCGGGGAAATCTTCCAGCTCTTTGAGTCGGTTCCTTGTTAGATTCAATAAACGTAAGTGAGTTAAGCCTTTCAGGCGTTCCTGCGGAAGGAGTTCGATATCGTTCACCCCCAAGTCTAACGTAAGAAGCTGGGGTAGGTTGCTGAACGCGCCCGGCGATATCCTCGAGATCCTGTTGTGATCCAGGAATACGTGCAAAAGTATAGGGAACGATTCGAAATCTTTACTGGTGAGTAACGATAAGTTGGTGGCGCTTATGTGAATCTCTTCCAACGACGGATACTTGTGGGATGTTGCAGTGTCGTGCAGCTTCGTTATCGGGTTCCCTGTCAGGTTCAGCCACGTCAAATTTGGTAGCGTCTGCTGCGATAAACTTCCGGTGGGAATCTGACGAAATTTATTGTTCGACAGGTCGATCCTTCTTAAATTAACGGAGCGGTGGAAGAAGTTGACGGGAAGGGCCATTAGCGAGTTGAAACTCAAGTCCACGGACACCAGCTGAGTCAAGTTTGCTACCGCGAAGCCCGACAGTGAAGAAATTTCGTTGTGGCTGATGTCCAACTCTTTCAGATTCGGCAGGCCGTTGAGTCGCGACAACTCCAAATTCGACATCTTATTAAACGACAATGAAAGGCTTATCAGTGTGGATATGTTAAGAAGCGCCGTGTAGGGCAGCTCGGTAAATGCGTTTTTGGATAATTTCAAATCTCTGATGACGTTTAAAGTCAAGAAGGTGCTGTGCAAAAGTTCACTCAATTGGTTACCGGTCAGATCTATGGTCAATAAATTTTTGTTATTGGCGAATGTGTTCTTCGGCAACACTTCAATGTCGCAGTGATCCAGGTAAATGGACTGGAGGGATGGTAATCCACTTAGCGCGTCCTCGGTTACTTCCCGGAAATAATTGTGAGACACCTTGAGAACCCGCAGTCCGGGAATATCCAAGTTGAGTAGCCCTTCCGACGACGTCAAGTTGTTATGCGCCAAGTTCAACTCGTTTAGATTATTCAGTTTCTTGAACGCGTCTTTCTCCACTTTATTTATAGAACAATTCATGACGTTCAGGACCCTAATCGGCAACGGTTCCTGGAATATTTCCGAATGGATTACGTCGAGATTGTTATGAGACAAGTCCAGTATGCGGAGCTTCTTTAAATTAGAAAACGCCCGTCGTTCGATAAACGTTATCCTGTTACTTGACAAGTTCAGCTCTTCGAGTTCGTGAAGCTCGCAAAATGATTTGGTGGTGACAGATTTGAGCTTGTTAATGCTCAAATCTAGGAACTTAAGGGACTGCATGGGTTCAAAGGCCTTCTCTTCGATGTGAGAGATGCTATTATTGGTCAGGTAGACCCTCTGGATGAGCAGCAGATCGCTGAAAAGGGCTCTGTCTATCCTTGTTAATTTATTATGCCCTAGCCACATTATCTGGACGCTCGACTGTCCTCTAAGGGAATCATTGTGAAGGTTTACTATTCTGTTGGCGTCCAGCTGGATGGAGACCAGGGAAGAAGATTCGCGCAGAAAAACATCCCCTAATTCGGACAGCATGTTCCCTTGGAGATTCACGTGCTGGAGACTGAGCAGGCTGTGGAACGATCCCGAATCGATAGACGTTATTTGATTGTATTGCAGATGCAATTCGAGTAGTACGGGCAAGGGGTGAAAAACGCCCCTGTACACGTTCCTAATTCTATTATTGTGAAGCCGTATTTCGCGTAAATTAATGACCTTATCAAAAACGCCCGGTTCCAAATCTCCGATCCAGTTGCTATCGAGACTTAAAGACGTAAGGTTTCTATTGTTATGGAATAGTGTCCTCGGGATTAAGGGGATGAAGTTGGAGCTTAGGTGTAATTGAGCCAGGTTTACTAGCGTTTCGAATGCGACGGGATCAATGTGCCTGACGGCGTTCTGCTGCAGATATATCACGGACAATTCGGACGAGTCGGTGAACGCGTTCCTCGGAATCTCCAGGATGTTATTTTCCGACAGGAACAGCTCCTTCAAATCCGGCAATCGGGCGAACAGTCCGCCTATGTAATGTATATGATTGTGACTGATGTCTATCGATCGTAATTTCTTATTAGACTGGAAAGTTCTTTTGTCTAAGAAGACAATTTTGTTGTGACTCAGATCGACGGTCTCGAGTTCCAAGAGGGACACGAAAGCACTGTGGTGCACGCTCTCTATGACGTTATAGTAAAGCGATAGCGTTCTTATGGACGGACTCGGTCGAAAACAATCTTCCTTTAAGCTTTCGAAATTGTTAGAACTCATATCTAAGAACATCAGCGAGTCGAGTTTTGAATAGCCGTCGTCCGGAAAAGAACTGATTTCGTTCCATGCCAGTCTCAGCATTTTTAATCGTTCCAGTCTCCTGAATGCGGCCATGGGGAACTGTTTCAGCTTGTTTTCGGCCATGTCCAGTTCGGAAAGGGTATCTTCTAAACCGGCAAAGGCGTATTCGGACACTTTTTTGATAAGGTTTCCCTTTAAATTCAATTTGATCAGGTGCAGTCCGTAGAAACTGTAACTGGGCAGATCGCTGATCAGATTTGACTCGAGGTTTAACGCTATCAGTTTCACCAGTCCGGAAAACGTCTTCTGAGGAATCTCCCTGAGCTTTCCCGAAACGAAACTGAGAGACTCGAGAAAAGGCCGGAGAGTTAGGAAGCAGTCGTCGTGCAGGTCTTCCAGGTTGGATTGTGTTATCTGAAAGTGTCTAATGACGGTCCCGTCCGGGAATAAATCGGGCGTGAGTCTGGTGATGGATTTGTCCAAGTCGTAGATGCTGAGCGATTGGATGGGTCCAGATACGACTTGCAGAACGGAATGGATCGAGTGGGCCGTGGCAGCCGGGCACTCCAGGAATATGCCATCTTCGAAGTTGTAACACGGACAGGAAGGGTTTATGGCAAAACTGGGACAATTGTTGCTGTCCTGAGCGACCAACAGGCTCGACAAAAATATTAGACAGGCGGTAATGGCGCCATATTGCGCCATCATGTTACAGCCATAGTTTAGAAGTCTTGGATTTGTTTACCTGTAACAATTAGAAATATCAAATTAATAAGGGAACATTGTTTCCTAGTAAAATCTTCTTCTGTCTTAAATTGTTTTAGACAACCAAAAAAAAAATGACCATCTGACTTTCAAATGTTTTTCTGTTTCTTGTAAGTTGTTTCTTAGACTTCAATTTTTTTTTATTTGGTCCCCATTGTTTTCCATTGTTATTGATTAAGAAAGAAAAACTGGCGAAGTTACACAAATACTTTATTTCCAAATGTCAAATACTTCGACTTTTTTTATTAAAAATGAAATACATGACTTTTGCTTGATGTAAAATTCTCGCGTTTCGACTGAATTCTTTATAACATTACAGGAGATCAAGCAGGAATTAATTTTCTATTTTTGTTTTAGTAAATAAACTCGGAAACAAAAATACAAAAATAAATTAAAATCTCTAAAAGAAGATTGCAACTTCATTTGGAGTCAGTAAAAAGGTGTTGTAGACTGTGTAAAAAGTGGGAACGGTTGTTTGAATCGATATAAACCCCTAAATAGTTACTGTTTGATGTTTATCCCTGTTAATTACCGATTGCATTCGATCTGCAAGCAATCGCCGAATATTTTCCCACCCTTTTTTCCCATTCCCACGGATCACTTCAAAGCGTCTACCGCGTTGCGATTCTACGTGAAAAACCTGAAACAAATTTTGATCGTTTTGCGTAGATGTTGTGAATTTTAAAACCGCTCATAATTCCAGGCGTGTTCCGTCAGCCGAGAATGTTTTCAGTTGTGGAATTTCGAATCGGTGATCCATGTTCCAGCCAACAACAACACGTTCATATTTTCAATGTAGTCGTTGCAGTAGGTTACTACCCAACAGTTGGTGATTTATATTGTTGGCTGCATGCTTTTTCAACCGTTATTACCTACGCTTCGGTGTACGAAAACATGTTCGCACAACAATCGCATAATAACTGCGTAAACTCAGAAAAATGCGGCACGCACAACTATGTTTACTTTTGTTAACAAAAGAGAACGTTGTCGTTGACAAATGAAACACATTTTGTTTATTGATGATTAGGTATATGCTTTAGACTTTCAATTGTTTTTAATAAGTGGTTTTGTTTTCGTTTAAAGTCACTTGTCTCAACTCTACGTACTAATTATTAGAAATTGGATTACCAACCACTAACAGTAGATACCTTTAGAATTAATTATTGTTCTTTAGAATCGAGAGTTGAAAATAGTAATTAATTTTAAGTAAATAATAGCTACCCTAGAAAAGTTTAAAGAATAACTTAGGTTTCTTCCATTTCGAGGAGTTGAAGAATAATTTAAAATTTCATTACCACTAATTGGTTGGAAATATTCCAGAGATGTTACTCGGGAATCCGTAAGTGGCATACAAATTAATGGAATTGGTAAAAATGGAATGAAAAGAGAATTTTCAGGTCTGATCAAATGTGTTTTTTTTGTTGTATAATAATGTGTATGTAAGTAAGTAGATGCGATATGTGAATTAAATTTTCCGTGCACAAAAGAAAATTTAATCAATTCAGACATCAAAAGTGGTTGATTTATTTAATATAATATGCTATAAAAGGAGTATTTTGAAAGGCATAGTTTAATGTAATTTCCGTTTTCTTGGAATGTTTTTTTTTGAAATATTGTAAGCTATTATCAGAAGTAACAATATTTTCGATAAATCGATCTGGGAATGGGACGTGAACAAGAAAAACAGCCGGAAGGGCAAAAAACTCATTTAGTTCAACTGGAAAAGGCTCGTCCTTTGAAGGTAAATGACAGCGTTTTGAGACATCATCGCTCTCGTTCTATTGCCCTTTTGATCAAGATGATACGTTTCACGTCTTCATTTCTAACCTTTTCTATCCACGTTATTTTCATCATCCGCCTATAACACCACATTTCGAACGCTTCTAACCTTTTCTTTTCCGCCGCTCCCACTGTCCATGTTTCGCACCCGTACAACGCCGTGCTCCAAACATACACCTTTAACAACCTTTTTCGAATTTTTAAATTAACCGTTCGCGAGCATAGAAGTGACTTCTTTTTATTAAAGGCGACACGACCCTGCGCTATCCTCTGCTTTATATCCCTACTACTCCTTCCATCCTGACTTATCTGACTTCCTAGGTATCTAAAATCAGCCACTTCTTCTAATTTTTCGTCTCCTATCTTTATATTCGCTCTTTCCCTACTTTTTCTTCCCTTGCATACCAGTATTTTAGTTTAGTTTTATTTTCATACAGTTCCTAATAAGGACCTAACACAAACTTTTTTCCCTGTCGTCTCATTCAATATTCGACTTGATTTTCTTAATGACGACGCCCTCTTAAACCGCAGCATGCTTTCCCTTATTTTAGATCACCAATTTACCTGACATAACAAATCGCGACTAACCTCAAACAATAACGAACGGATTTAATGCACAGGCGTTGTAATAATTATCTAAAAACAAATTCACCATCACTTACAGAATTATACGTCAGGAGTATACCATTATAACCCATGTGTAATTTTTTGATTTGAATCATAAATACTCTACCAAATTACGTTTAACAGATTCAAACGCCAATTCTTCTATAACAACGGCAACATTTCAATTAATTTAACAGTTGAATAACGTACGTAAAATTGTTTTTAATTAATTAAATTGAAGCGTCCTGCCTGACAACAGTTTAAATAATAATACTCGAGTGTGCTAGTTCAAAGAAGTCTCATTTGGCTTTTCACGTGCCGAAACACACGCATACAATTAGCTTATGTGTTTCATATTGTGTGTGTGCACACGTATGCATAAAGTTAGAAGCACTATCTTCATTATTTGGCTTAATTACCGCGCTCGTAATTAACATTGCACTGTAAAAACACGTTGGAGAAACTCTGACTAGACAACGAAGGGATAGTCCGTAAAACTTTTGTAAATATCTAACACACCTACAAAAATATGTATCTAATTAATTAAAAGGTTAATGCAAACAAGTGATTGTTCGGCATCTTAACATGAAGAACGAAAAGTAGAGGGCCCGATGTGCTACCTTGGGGAAAACCATCGGCGTTTCGCTTTTATTTTGCTATGGCAACGGTTAAACGAGACAACAGACAGAATAACGCCGTGGGCCACAACAGTCTTTTGTTTTTAAATTAACAAAAAATTCTTATTGTAATTCGTACTTTTTGTCTGGACCTTGTGTTTCTAATACTGACGCTGTCATTTCACGTGAAATAGTGACGTTTTATATCTTGCGGTAATAATAGGACTTTCTCTTATCTTTTATCCTGGAGCCTGGAAATTAGCGGATACGGAGTGGTCGAGTCCTGTAGAAAGTGCAAAGGTTGTAATAAACTAGCGGTTTCGGTTTTATATCCCAAAGCCATTAAAATTTTATTGTCACACGAAACGTATTTCAAATTCACAAGTCCGTACCGTATCCTCCCTCTAAATTATATTAAAACCCCTCGCTGCTGCAGCACACATGTGTGCTAATGTAATTATGAAGCTGGATGGTTATTTGATACATTAAATCTGTAAATGTATAATAAATAATTAGTTTGAAACTGGAAACCGAATGAAAATATTGGTCTCACATTGGCTTGTAGGAGTATTGACTTTGTGTTCGAAATGTAGTAGATTGTTGTTTTCTGTCAGCTTATCGTGACTTGAACTGTGTCTATAAAAACTTCAGTACAAGGTAAAACTTTCTAAACTTTTTCAGAACTTCTAGCTCCATAAACACTGGAGAGGTAATTTTTACTTTGTAGTAAAACGAATCAATATCATTTAGAATTGGAGAAATATATATATTTAAAATGGTTATATATAGGCAGTCTTTTCAGTCATCATGACCATAAGGTCGTCAGTCCTAAGACTGGCTGGACACGTACCTCCACTCTTTCCTATATATCCTGAGCTAAACTTCGCATTTCCCTAAAACTAGAACATCTCACATGCTTAACTATTTGCGAACAGTAATCTAACCTAGGTTTACCTCTACCCCTCCTAACTCCTGTTTCTGCCGCTAATATGCCTCTGACTAGACCTTCATACCTGAGAAGGTGTCCTACCAACCTATCTCGCCTATTTTTTATTGTATTAGAGTCCTCTGTTCTCCTATTCTTTCCAATACCTCTTCATTTCTAACCTTTTCTATCCACGTTATTTTCATCATCCGCCTATAACACCACATTTCGAACGCTTCTAACCTTTTCTTTTCCGCCGCTCCCACTGTCCATGTTTCGCACCCGTACAACGCCGTGCTCCAAACATACACCTTTAACAACCTTTTTCGAATTTTTAAATTAACCGTTCGCGAGCATAGAAGTGACTTCTTTTTATTAAAGGCGACACGACCCTGCGCTATCCTCTGCTTTATATCCCTACTACTCCTTCCATCCTGACTTATCTGACTTCCTAGGTATCTAAAATCAGCCACTTCTTCTAATTTTTCGTCTCCTATCTTTATATTCGCTCTTTCCCTACTTTTTCTTCCCTTGCATACCAGTATTTTAGTTTAGTTTTATTTTCATACAGTACTAAACTGTCAGTACCGCTTCCATTTTACTAAAGCTTTCTCTAATTCCTCCATGCTAGATGCTAATACTAAGCATACTAATCTTTATCCCCTGTATATCTATCCCTACAATTGTACTGTCTTTAATTATGTTGATCGCGTCTTCGATGTATAGATTAAAAAGTAGCTGTGACAGTGTGCATCCCTGTCTGACTCCCTTTCTAATATTTACTTCTCTACGTTGCAGCCCCAGCTCTATAACTGCCCGTTGCTCTTTGTACAAACTAAGTATCACTCTTCTATCTTTGTAACTCATCCCTACATTTTTAAGTGTATTTAACATCTTGTCCCATTTAACATTGTCAAAAGCTTTCTCTAAATCTACAAATCCTATGTAGGCACCCTTTCCTTTTTCTATCGTTTTCAATGGAAAAAATTAAATATAGTATACGGTTTCAATAGCACTTTGTATAGCTTTTCTCTTTAAAGTAGAATTTTCAAT